TATCATGAAACTACATTGAAAAGAAGAGTAGTATGAATTTTTATTGCCTATGAGTAATAAAATCTAGGAAGATATTTAACAAGTAAAAATCTAAAGACAGAAATTACACGCCTATACTAACACTCATTCTCGTAGAAAATTCCACCAACGTCTATTTTATCAATCGTTCTCGTAAAAATTCCACCAACGTCTATTCTAACTCATTCTCGTAGAAAATTTAACCGACGTCTATTCTAACACTTTATCTCGTAGAAAATTCTACCAACGTCTATTCTAACACTTTATCTTCTACCAACGTCTATTCTAACACTTTATCTCGTAGAAAATTCACCAACGTCTATTCTAACACTCGTTCTCGTAGAAAATTTCACAACGTCTATTCTCACACTTTTTCTCGTAGAAAATTTACCAACGTCTATTCTAACACTCATTCTCGTAGAAAATTCAACCAACGTCTATTCTAACACTTTTTCTCGTAGAAAATTCCACAGAGTCCCTGCGAAGAGGGAAAATAAGACGCGACATTCGGGAGTGCGGGACGCAAAACAACTCTGCCGTGTAATTTGATTCGGGGAGGGGATCCCGCCTGCTGGGATGCGGTACAAACAAGTGACATTACGTTAGGCCTCGCCATGTGGGCATTGCATGTCTTCACCAGAGAAGTGTCAGCTGTGAAGGCATAACACAGTAATAATTAAGCGTCTCGTTCAATCAAAATAATAATTTATTCACATCAGATCACATATAAGATAACAAAACAACACAAATAATGTACCATGTCAGTAGCAGCGCTTCACTTAAGATCTGATACGATGCATTCGATGCAAGATTGTAAATTTATGTCTCAAATATATTTCTTTCTCTCTTGCAAGAAGCGCAACAGCAGACAAGGAGCGAATAGAAGCTGCTTGAAGCTGACCATGCAGGCAGAGCAGAGTGGCGCAGCGGAAGCGTGCTGGGCCCATAACCCAGAGGTCCGTGGATCGAAACCACGCTCTGCTAAGTGCTTTTTACACCAGTTTACCTTCTTTATGAATTTCAAGGATCTACCTATGCGAGAGTGTTTTTGACCAGATTACACGATTTGTTTGTAAAAAAAAATACTCATAGCAATTACATTTCTGCTACCTTTTCGCATTCGTGAATAGAGATACTAGGACTGTGTATTTAAAATAACAAGAGATACTAGGACTGTGTATTAAAATAACAACAACGTGATTATTGAAAAATGGTGTTTTAATAAATAACAATGAATAATAAAAATTGTACTCAAAACTCTCATAAATAACAATATTTTAACAAAACCGTTGATCAATACTAGCATTCTTCCGTGAAAATAAATAAAAAATAACGCAATGACTTTAGGAATAAATACTTTGCTCAAGTAAGTCTTGAGCACCGCTAACAATTATTTTTGAAAGTTAGATCTGATATGATTTTACTTTCACCTCAAAGCATAGCAGAGTGGCGCAGCGGAAGCGTGCTGGGCCCATAACCCAGAGGTCCGTGGATCGAAACCACGCTCTGCTAAGTAACTTTTACCGTACTACACGCGTCTTCGACAGTTTCAGACAGCCTAGAATCCACGAGTCAACAACGCCCAATGAGGTCCGCCGATGAATGATAGCAAGATGCATCAGCTTAGCAATTGCGTGGCAGGGCAATTACAATAATTTTAAATACTATTGAACTACGAGAGAGCGGCAGGCAAGTAGAACCGTTATGTTCTAATCTACGTTACATTCATTCATTAGCAACATCGAGTTACACTACACACAAGCCATAACAAACACGGCCGACCATCATAATCTTCTATTCATGAACAGCAAACATCTTCCGGAAAGCAGCGAAAAGGCCGAGGCGCCAACATTACTCACAATCATCGGCGATTTTTATAAAGTAAAACATGGACTTTCCACTTCCACATGATTCGATGCATCTCAAGTGTTTGAACGGCCTTTTTCTAGTTTAGGATAGACTTTCAAGTTCGAGTTGAAGCTTAGCTTGTAGTTAATGGAAGCGTATGTTTAAGATTGGTTTGAAACAGAGCTTCAAGTTCGGTTAATATTTGGAGCTTAGCTCCAAATTCAAATTGAAGTTCGATTCAAGCTTAAGTTCGATTTCGAGCAAAGCTTCAAGTTTGAGTTGAAGGGTAGATTTCAGTACGAATTAAAGAGTAGGTTTACGTTTGAGTTGAAGCGTAGGTTCAAAGTTCTGAGTTGAGCAGTAGATTGAATTTCGAGTTGAAGCGTAGGCCTAAGTTCGAGTTGAAACGAAGGTTTAAGTTTGAGTATAAGGGTAAATTTATGTTCGGGTTGAGTGGTTGACGCGTAAGCTAAAGTTTGAGTTGAATCTTAAGTTCAAAGTTCCGAATTGAGGCGTATATACGTAGGTTGAATTTCGAGTTGAATCGTAAGTTAAAGTTCGAACTAAAGCTTTGGCTCAAGTTCAAGTTGAAACGTAGGTATAATCTCGAGCTGAGAATGCGAGAAGGCGCGGCGTCAGCTAACGACATGTCGGAGCATTTTTCAAAAGAGGCGAGTTGGCTTCGTCGGTGATGATCGATTTGCTGTCACCGCGCCTGGAGCGCCGTGCGGGGGCCGCTATTGCTGCTACGACGCGGACGTGAGAGGGAGGGAGAGTCATGAGAACTAGTTTTGAAGATTGTTTACTCCTTTATATTATAACTTATTATTGATCCGCACTTGCTTTTGTTGTCAGGCTTCGTCCGTTGTGTCTTACACGCTTTTTTCGTGTTTTCGCGTTCGCGTATGTATATAAAATGAAGTTGGAATTACATAGATACGCATTATTCAAAAGGTGTTACTGAAAACGAGGTGGAATAGGAGAACTGGAGGAAAACGAGGTTAGAGAGGAGGGCAGGAGAGATAGGAGACTGAAGAAAAGATCGGGTATGTAAGTGGATAAGAAAAAATTGAAGAAAATAGTATGACTGATGAGGGAGAAAAATGTGGAGGATAAGAAGAATGCCAGAAACCGTGAAAAGATAATGGGCAGACATCGTGAGGACATCGGAGGGGAAGGAATACAATTATTTCATGAAAAATACGATCAACAAAAACGTTCTTGGCGGCTAGAAAGACGAACTTTCGATTGTCATAAACCGACTACGTACGAGAGAAATTGATCACCCGCATTGAGAAGAATATCAAAAACCATAAGGTCCAAGCAACGAAAATTCATTGAGGTAGAACCTCCTGCATGATTTACCCCAATATTCCTGCATGAATCCAGGATATAATATGTCTGCAGATGTTTGAGACTGAGTGCTATGCAGAATGGCAGCGCGCGGCGCTCCTTACAATGGTTTGACCGCTCGACCTGCGAGATGCCAGGCGCCCGAAACCTGCTGCTGACCCGCGTGCATTATCGCGTGGTCATTACGGCACCGTGAACTGGTATAAGGCACTGCAGATACATATACTGTAAACCAATATGGACTGCTCCTCTGATTCAGGAAGGTTACATATTTGATAAATTAGTTCACATGGTCATTGCGAAATATTCGCGGATTATAGGCAATCGTCACCGCACGTTAGCAATAGCGTTCAGACATTCAACAATGAACTTACACTGAACTTAATAAATCACAAATTTTTATTGAAAACTAATTAGTTCATATGATCACTACGATATTCAGCTCGACTTACACTGTGCATTGCACATGTTAGGGTAGCTCTATGCTCACAATTAGGTCTCTTGCAGAACAAATTAGGCTGCAATTTTTCATATCGCTTAGCTTCTTTACAATGAAAATGCTTTAATGAACAACGGAGCGCAGTAACAAAATAATAATAATGATAATTATAATAATATTATCAGTAATAATATTATTAGTAATGATAATATTAATAATAATAGCAATAAAAGTCCTACCCGAACCATCCCAATTTTAATTTCTGTTGTGTACGACATCAAGATCTGAGATGTTTGCGCGCTCAATTAAATTTTTTTACTTTATCCCGAATTTCCGTTTGATAATATACAATTAAAAAATGCAATGACGATTAATTACTTAAAACGATAGCAATCCAGATAGGAAAATACTCATTGCACAACTGACCAATCAGAAAATATGTAGTATTATTATAATCAGTGGATGGATTTGTCTGTACGACTTTTGAAGATTGAATGAAGACATTTTAAAGACGAATAAGTTGTTGATATTCGAAACTAAATTAAAATTTAGATGCTTTACAAAAGCGGTGAAACACGAATCTGTTAGAAAGATCAATTAAAGTGGGAAAGTTTCTTGATGGGAACCGCCTAAAAATCTACTGATGTAGATTTAACGTATAGGTAGTCTAGACACGGAAAAATTAGTCAGCACCATAATACAAACATCACATACACGCTTACAATAAAAACATCACAGACAAGCTTAAAAACCAAATGAATATTTCATTCTTAGGTTTTTAAGATGTCTCTCTGAAGTTGCTAAAACAATCCTGGTTGTAGACGGAGAACTGCTCAATAATTTCGATCATATATCAGATTGAAATAAATCATGGATGTCACAGGACTAATATTTGACGCTTCTCTTCTCCGCATTGCGAGCAACAGATCTGCGAGTCGGCAGTCCGTAATTGTTAACAACGCTCAACAAAAACTGGACAGACTTGCGATCTGCCAGGAGCTGAAGCCATCAAACCACATACCAGACTTCAGCTCAGGCAGCTAACCAAGTCTCGTCTTATCAATCAATATTTATTCGACGCTCCCGCAGGGGCGATCACGCCGATCTAACACTTACGATAATATATTAATTTAATTTCGATTGTAGTAGAATGTAGTCGTAAATCGACCGCTCCAACGATTAACACTTCACGAGTTTCGCACGCTGTACCCACCGGCGTGATTACCATGATAAGGAACCGAACGTCCTTGATGGACAGCATTTTAACGGAGAATGATAAGCGAATGGATTGATTATGTAATTATTATTCATTGGGATGATTCTAAAAGTACTCGGTACTCACCCAGTGCGTGTATGGAATACCCAACGGGCGGGTGAAGTAGGGAGTGGGTGTGGGCATGTAGCACGGTAGCGAGGGCGCGGGTGGGCCCACTCACCAGCAGCCACCCGCCCAGAAGGGCACCCACCAACTTGAGTGACGCCACAGCCTCCACCAGCTCCACGTCCCAGACGCACGCCGAGTTAGCGTTCACCCACCGCTGCGGTGTGAGTGACATCAGGTCATTAGCATACGCATGCTAAGATAGGTACATTAGCACAAGTTACTGTTAGTTGCTAGTCAAACGCTAGTCAAATTACTAGCACATGCTCCAGGCAGTTTATTAGCACTCGCTGCAGTCATTTTATTAGCACGCGCTAGCAGTAGTCATCACACGTTATTGGCTACAAGATTTTTGAGAGAATATCCACCAATCAGCAATGAAGGGCGTAAGTAATAAATTATGACAGATGTATATTTAAACTAATTATTACATCATGACGAAAAAATGCTCACAAAATTAAACCAGGCGCTCTGTGTGATATTTTCGGAATTAAGACTCGATTTTTCTGTTCAAAAATGCTAAAAAAAACTCGCAATTTGCTTTCTTTGTCCTTCGATTTCAGATTCATAAAAGACAAACAAGTTTAGTTATAAATCACACTCCATCAACTAATAATACTTACACTTGGTGACAAGTAGTATCTCATTGATGAATAAATGAAGAAAAAGGCAAATGTAAAAAGAACAGCATTAAAATACTCAAGGACATAGCAGACGATGGTTGTGATAGCATTGAGGTAGCAATAACGGTGATCTTTTTACTACAGATTCATTTGACGGTCGCTGGGTCACCGCGTGCATGGTATCAAGGTCTCCGGTAAGCAGCGGTGCGCCGGTGCCTATACACATGCTACTTACTTCCTACATTGGTAGTACATATTCGCTGACAACGCCTTCGAGATCTTCGCTTTTATACTTCGAGTTCACATAAGCCGAATATAGTGAAAAAAATGAATGCAAAGGAAACGAAAAGTATGTTTCGTCGTCGCATTGAAAATAGGTATATAGTGAATTTCCTTGGCATTTTATTTGCATTTATGTTTTTTGAAATATCGACAGGTCACCTCTAGGTCAGTACAAGAATACTAAAATAAATAATATACGTTTAAAAATTACTTTTTAAAGACAACACTTCCAAAGAATCCAGTATCTCCAATCTTACAGATGTACAATGAATTTCTCATCTGATTTTCGAAAATTAAAAAAATTACCTTTTCAATTTTTTAATTATATATGGTACGGTACATTTTTTAATATATGATTTTTTTCAAAATTATTTATTCTGTTAATTGATTCGTGCATTGCCTCTGATTTCACACAAGTGTGCAAAATTTCAGATCAATTAGACAGGTAAAAGTGTGTCAAATATCAGTTAGAAGATTTGTAGCTAACAAAATTATTTTTCCAATTTTTTTAATATTGAAAATTTTTTTTTAATTTTTAAAATCATTTATTTTGACATTTGATTCATGCATTGTCTCCAACTTTACACAAGTGTGCAAAATTTCAGATCGATTGGATAAGTAGAAGTGTATTAAATTTTGATTACAAGATTTGTAGCAGACAGACAGACAGACAAACAAACAAACAGACAAGAAGTGAAGTTAAAGAGAAGTGTTGTAATTAGGAAAAGATTCCTAAGGTACAATTTACTGCAGGCGACATCTAAAAATGTAATAAATGGAAGAGTGTGAGCATGAATGAACATGAATGAGCATGGAATATCAGAAAGATCTTTTGTTAAGTAAACAACTTATGGTTATGGGAGAACAATCGAATTATATCCTCGAAATTATTATAAATTTTGGTCTCAGTAGAGGATATATGCTGAAACTAAGTTTCAACGCTATTGGCGTGTATCCAAGGCATGTAATACATCACCGATACATAGAAAGAAATACGTTCCAATGCCTGGAAGGTAAAGTCCTAATACACGGAAGTACTTCCTAATACATGGAAGGTAGTACGTCCCAATACAGGGAAGGTAATACGTAAATAAATATGTATGGGCGTGTCGTTCTATGGGCTCAATATAGGGAGAGAACGATGGCTCCAACATTAGTCATGTGAGCTCATTGATATTCAGGAGACGCAGATATGAGCTGTAATAATAAGGCTTGGCATGAGCTCAGAGGGTGGAGCTTTCAAGTAGTCCCCCATAAAATTAGGAAGGCATGAGGCGAAACAAAACACATTAGGAAGTAGACTGTTCTTATGGCAATCCAAGATGTGTACGTGAACGATGAATAAATTACAAAGCGTTGACACTATATTTGATTATTCCAGGAAGAATCAATTGGTGAGAATCAATTATTGAAATTTAGAAAATAAAATTCAGTATGGGTCACAAAAATCTTTCTGAGAAACAGAACATCACTTTTCATGAGAGCATTTTCCTATGTAACATAAACTAGAAATTTTATCTTGAAAAAAAAACAGCCAGATATATTTATTTCGCTTATCAAAACAAAAACTCGCCACATTTCCACCAGGAAACGAAATCTGACCTGAAATATAGCCGAGGGTTCAGATGGGGCTGAATTGGACTTGACGGGAGGCGGCGAAGCGTTGGTGGATGAAGGTACGGTGTTGGTAGATGAAGGTAAGGCGTTGGTCGGAGTTGGTAAAGCGTTGATAGGAGTTAGTGTGGAGTCGGTGGGAGTTTGTGAGGAGTTGGTAAAAGTTTGTGATGCATTAGTACACGATGTTGTTGCGTTGGTCGGCGTGGGCGTGCCACTCCCTGAGGTTGTTTCGTCGCCTTGTGGAGGTTTACCATTCAATATCTCTGCGTGACACTTGACGGCTGGAGCTGTCGAATTATAGGTCTTTGTCGTTGAAGGTTTTGCAGGCGAGGCGTACAATGACCTATTTGGCGATGATGGCGTTGTTGCGATGTTGGTATGGCAATGTGACGCGCCGTTTTCTGAGGACGAACTCCTCCTTGGAGAAGTACATTGATGAGCGGCGGGGTTGGTTTTAAATGGAGATGATCGAGCCGACGGTGGTAGCTTGGCAGCAGCAGAGCACACGGGAGGAAGCGACGCGTGAATTGCATGGAAAAACGAGGATCTTCGTGAAGGAGATGATTTCTTGAGAGTTGCGAAAGGCTCATCTTCACACTCTAAAACTTGATTAGATTCAACACATGCAGAACCGTTTGACATTTCACTACATCCGTTCTTAGCAACTGTCGGCGTTGACTGGATAATATCAGGGGGATTAGAGTTTACATTATTTATAAAATTCTCCCCGTTGATTTCTAAATCATTCATGCAATAATCGATAAAAAGGCTCTTTCTTCTTTCATCCGCAGAGTCAATTTCGTCTCTGGAGTTGCTTTTGGCAGGCGAAGCAGGCGAAGAACCTCGACCACGTTCAGCGCTTCTGCTTCTGACGGCATTGGCGACGGCGCGCGGTAAAGTGCCGCTCCTGGTGAGGTTGCGGAGCGACCGATAAATGGCATGGGCGCGCTTACTCCGGCCAACTTCCGGGGCCACTGGAGGATTGCCGGTGCCGGGACACACGGGGCGGAACTGAACTGCGATGCACTGGCCCAACACCGTTGCTGGGTCCGCCATCCTGAATAAAATAGAACTGAGTCGGTAAAACATGATTTTTTTAATTGGACGAAAGTACATGAATATGATTTGGTCTAATATTCCTTAACAATCTATAAATGTACTAATTGAATCAATTTCTTGGTAGGCAGATTGGAAGCAGACTTCAAATTGGAATCTTACGCGGTCTGTAACGAACTACAAATATCAAAATGTCATACACTTACTAACTCGAAACGTTCGCAACTTGTGACATTCACAATTTGGAAGCCCATTTACTGTCAACGGTAACAGCAACAACGGTAACAGCAACAAAGGCAACAGCAACAAGGCAACAGCAACTCAACGGTAACAGCAACAACGGTAACGGCAACAACGGTAACAGCAACAACGGTAACGGCAACGACGGTAACAGCAACAACGGTAACGGCAACAACGTTAACGGCAACAACGGTAACAGCAACAACGGTAACGGCAACAACGGTAACGGCAACAACGGTAACGGCAACAACGGTAACGGCAACAACGCTAACAGCAACAACGGTAACAGCAACAACGGTAACGGCAACAACAGGAACAGCAACAACGGTAACAGCAACAACGGTAACAGCGACAACGGTAATAGCAACAACGGTAACGACAACAACGGGAACAGCAACGACGGTAACAGCAACAACGGTAACAGTAACAACGGTAACAGCAACAACAAAATGAGTTGCATAATGTTAGCTTCCGCTACATGTTATCAATGAATGGTCATTTGATTCACCGATTAAATACCGCTGAGCACGCTAGATGCAAGCCAAAACATTTTGATAAAATGATTAGTGCAATTTTCTACTGCTGTTTACACAAATCCGATATTTGCCAAAGATGTGCGTTTAATTTAGCGTTTCGAATGTCTGGTTGCGAGCGTGTCTTATGTGGCATGATAAACGGCTGCTCAATGCCGTAGTAATTACATCAATGTAGTCAAAATAATGAAGATGTCTACAACCTTCTTTGCAGCAAAATTTATAGACCATACCACATTCTTGGAGAACTCCCGATCTTTTGCTATAGAGCCACGTTGCTGCGTATATAGTTCGGGGCTTGACGTTGTGGTCAAGGGTGTCACGAAGCAAGGGTGTCAAGAGGTTGGATTCATCGCGGATATTGAAATGATGTTGATCGATTGAAACTTCATCTCAATCTTGGAAACAAGTAATAACCAAGTATGAAATGATAAATATACAGCGAAATTGCTGGCGCTGAAATCTCCGTCCAGAAATGATGACAATTACTTCTCTACAGTTCACCGCTCTACCAACTGGGCTGTCGAAGGATTATTGTTGCATATTTGCTTCAATTTTCATACTTAAAATTTTTTATTTCTGTACTGTCAGGTTAGCTCAGTGCTGCTCGGGATTAATAATTCATGCAATTTTAGAGTACTGTTACCCTAATACCGTAAATAATGATGAAAAAATCTACGTCAATTATAGAAAGACCCGATTAAACCCGCACATGCATTCTACGTATAATCTATCACGTGACTATCGTTGCAAAATCTAAAAAATTGTGCCGTTTAATTTAAATTGATAAACACCAATTTAAAAGTAAATTTCATTTTAAAAATCTTTTCCTCACAATTTTGCAATGCATTGTCTCACCGAGAACAAATTTCCTGGTACAAGGCTATATCGCGGCACGATAAGTATCCTGGATACGCAGTTACGCACCGTATATATTTACGGTTTGAAGCCACATAAACACACTCAATCATTCTTAATTGTATACAAGGTTGGACTACCAACATAATCTCCAAAAATTAATACCTCGATATTATGTGTGGTTCGTTTTTCTGTTGAGACTACTACATTTAGTACACAGAGAAAAATGAGTTTTAATAACACATTTTATACGAAGATATTCTGTGTTGTTCGTGGAAGATTAAAACATGGATTGGCAATGCATCTCATCTCTCTAAAATTAAATGAAGCTGTGCTTTCACTTCTAAGAAAAATATAAATTTCTTATCCTAAAGAATACTAGTAGCGATATTTTGATACAAAATAAATAAGTTTGCGCCTTTTCCTTGTTCAAGTTCACATGATTGACGTACAATAAGCACAGATTACGATACACAAATTCACTTGATTTTCATGTGTAATTGTAATTACCTTTATTGTTTGTTTATGTGTCTGTGAACTAAAATTCAATTTCCTTCGAACCGGATTTGAACCAGTGACCTATGGATAGCCGTTTACCACTACAGTCCACCGCTCTACCAACTGAGCTATCGAAGGATACTGGTTTCAGCGAGTGACTCATTATATTTCACGATTACATAGTAGACTATTTTTATGATAATTTACCCCAATGTCGGACGGTGTCCCCCTCCCCCCCCCCCAAAAAAAAAATAATAATAATAAACTATATCTCATTTTAAAAGACATTGTCGTATTAACCTGATGGGGAAACTTTTAATACCTTATGTAAAGTTCCAATTAATTTGCTTGGCATAGAGAGCCCCGAGCCTTAAGTAGCCACTTAGATTTACAATAAGTTGTCATTTCTCGAGCATTATAACTGCTTCAAACTATTAGTCAATATTAGACTATAATATAGCGCTTTGGCACCTCAGTAATTGTCCATGTGTAATTTGATTTTTGTGAAGACATTTTTTAATTAGATTGTCTTACTTCGTGGTGATGACTGATGAGTGAGAGAACATGGTGAAACTGATGTCATTATTTTGAACATTAATAATCTGCCTTCGACGTAATTGTCCTTGCGTAATTTGATTTTTGTGAAGAAATTTTTTAATTAGATTGTCTTACTGCGTTGTGATGAGTGAGAGAACATGGTGAAACTGATGTTATTATTTTGAACATTAATAATCTGCCTTCGACCTGAATTTGAACCAGTGACCTATACTGATCTTTGAAAACAATATAGAGGTTTTTGGCCTTCGATGGTTAAACATAAACAAATAATATACAATTATGAAGACACTGAAAAATGTATTGCTTACAAACATGACGAGTTTGAAACAAACAACAAACAACAGTACAACAGTGAAAAATTGATGTAAGGACCTTGAAAATTACTGCCTTCAGAATGTTACTTCGTTTCAAAGATTGTCAAAACATTTCAATTGTCAAAACAAGAATGAATTCTCCAGACTGCGCTATAGTCACCCAAGCCATAGATTCGCTAGTTACTTTAAGCTATTGTTTGGCGAGTAAACTGATACGGTGCTCAGTTGACAAGAGCCTAAATTATTGCACGCTTTACGGCGCGCAGTCCGGTAAGAATAGAGGTACTTATACATGGGCGTGTTGAAGTGAGCTGATAAAGGGGAGGTGTGCAGGCCATTCCCTTATACATGCACACACAACAGTAAGATAGTAGAATGACCTATGATGCCCTCACAAGAAGCCATGCATGCAGGCTTTCCTTCAACTCTCGAGTCTTGAACAACAGATTGAGAATAGCAACAGAATAGCAATAGAAATATAGAACACTATCAAGATTGAGAATAGCCATTAGATGATCACGTACGTCGGGGATTTGAAAAGAAATTTACAATAAAATTCAAAAAATACATTTCGAGTTCAACGAATCGGCAACAATTAATAAAGTAGGAATAAATGGAATCAGGCGGCGACGGTTCGCCATTGGTGCTCTTAGAGGACTTGAAAACATACAAGCTGATCCCACAGAGCAATTGGAGACAGTAACTGTGCTCTATTTATTTATACAAGAACTGCTCATATATATTCCTAATAATTGAAAATTAACGGATTAAATATTTAAAACAGAATATTTATTGCACCCAAGCAGATTCAGCTAAAGAATTTATGACAGTAATCGAAGAGCATTTACGATCCGATTTTTCTTTTATTTTAACTGCTTAAAAATATTAAAAATTGGGAAATTTACAAAAAAGTATATGAAATAGAACATTGGTGGTACTTCAAAGAGAGATAAATGGCATAGTAGCACAGCACTTTGTGGCAAGGCCTTTAGAACTGACAGCTTCAGACAAGAACGAGACAGCAATCAAGGAGTGGCCCGACACTAACATTGGGGCTGAACCCGTAGGTTTCTTACATGCTTCAGGTAAATGTTATACCAGGACTGTCTTTAACTGGCAACGCGATTGTTACTTCTGGAATTTGTGACGAAACTAGTACACTTCGTAAAGTTCAACGTTCAACTTTTAACACGATTCTATTCAAGCAGACACTGCAGCTGGCAGTGCACCTCGAAAAAGTCAAATTTTATTGATTAAAAAGCATTCAGTTAAGTGTACTGATAATATAGAGTAAAAATTGCAGTTAGTGAAGTAAACCGAGCTTTAAGTTTAATAATAAATAATAATTCTATTAATTTATATCACATTGCAAAGATTTGTTAAGTTTACATATTTCTCGAGATCAAATCAACGCTGCTGGCACGTATAAAATGTTAGTGCAATTTTATTGAGCATTTTAACGCACGAACGTTTCTAAAGAGCAAATAAAACGACCCATGCACGAACGATACTACAACCATTCGTAAAAACCCATACTATATTTTAGAGTTATTAGTTATTATTAACAATGAGTTTCCAACGTAGAATTCAATTAATGCTCGTATATATATATACGCGCATAACATGCGGTCCGCGTCCCTGTTGCGTAACGACTTTAAATAATATCAAATATTGTTGCTCATCTGGATCATTCTCGATGCAATAATATATATCCAATGCTCTAATGTCGTTGTTCATTTGTTTCTCGACAATTTAATAACCCGGCGGAGTAAACAAATTGTACAGTCAATAAAATACTTAAAAAAAAAACTTTAAAAAAACACGTTTTTCTTGTGGACTAAGAAGTAGAAAATAAATTATGGCTCGCCCCAAAAAACGTGTATCGGGCAGCTTTATGATTAAAGCGAAAAGCACACAACACGAATTTTGGAAATTTGATGGTGAACGTACAGCTCGACCCACGTTTTTTGGGGCGAGCCATAATTTATTTTCTACTTTTTAGTCCACAAGAAAAACGTGTTTTTTTTATTTTTTTAAGTATTTTATTTTCTCCTTTTTAGTCCGTTTTAGTCCTAATTATATAGTTTATATTCTACTTTCTACTCTAATCTTCATCTCTTGACGTACGTATCGATGATACGCAGCGTCAGGGCCTGCTCGTCTATAATACGTGAGCGCCCGCACGTCATACTATATATATATACAATATATATACTTTACTCAATTAAGCTAATTTAGGTCTCTAATTGCTAGTTTTTATGATTGTATCTGAAATTGTTAGGCGAAAATAGCCTGCATGCCGAATTTCAGATCTCTAGAGCATTAAGAAGTGGGCTAATTTTCGTTGTCAATTTTAACAACAACAAACAAACAACAAACGCGAAGCTGAGTTAAGAAAAACGTGTTAAAAAGCAATTTACATCGAACGATCAAGCGGTACCGGGACATATTCAAATTATGCAGACATTTAATAAGCTTCATTAATCTCTGAAACAGTTTATTTCTCTACTTGCTGATTGCACACACAATCTATTGTTTCTGGTGCCAGTTCACACGTAACCGACCAATATAGATCAACAAAAGCATCGTATTTGAACAAGGGAATAACAAGAATTATCCAGTCACTAGAAAATTCAATGACAATAAGTGTGAACATTTTTAAATTCGGCACGCAAGGCAGTCAGAGAATGTAAACCTGAAACGGGAAAAGTTACGTCAAACTAAAGAATTATTAATACTGTTATCAAAATTAAAGTGACAATTAACTTAGAGGGCAATCAAGGAGTAAGGGGAAAGCGGTCACGTGCTGGCCATAAATAGGTTCATTAACGACCCAAAGCCGGCGCAGAAACTGGAAAACCTACGAAATAAAGCAATCCTGTGATCCCGCAGCGGCGACGAAATGATTTCGTTCACGCGACGTCGAAGGCGAAAATGTTGATTTGTCTTTTATTTCGTGAGTGTTTACGGCTGCATTCACGTGATACACAAAATTTAGATCTATTTCTTTTTATTTCGTGCAAATTTGTATTCGAATATCAGTCCATATTAGTGGCAGCGAACTAAATCTTGAATTTTCTATCATTTGGAGCTGTTTCATGCTTTTTTTATTCTAGCAAGAATCAATTGATGATTAATTCTACATTTGACCAAAAC